TCAATGTTACTTATGTTGTATCGACAAATTTAATTTTTGCTTGTTTAACTATGTAGCATCGTTTCTCGTTGTGAATTTTTCTCCTAAAACTCCAAATCCCGCTGGCCTTTTAGTGGTACCTTATCCTGACATCATTCTGCATATCTTTGAATCTCTTATCATCCGCCTTACCACAGGCAATTGTACATAAACAGCGCATAAACGACTACTTCGATAAACCATTCGCATATCTTGCTCAAGTCATATTCGATAGCATTCTTGATAGTGTGTTAGGCGTAAATAGTGTAAACAATGCTCGCAAAATTAAGACAAGACTACCGTATTTGCCTTCAAAAGCGTTTAAAAAAATTACATCTTATTTTTAAACTTTCTGTAGAAGTATTTCGCATTGGTGGATTACATCAAGAAGTCATGAGATTCGATAATATAAGTAATAATATTTTATTTTCAAATTTCGGCTTCTTCATATAATTAAAGTAATGAACATTTTTGTTTAATTAAAGTGAATTACTGTAGGGTCTATACATGCAAGCACAAACGTTTTCCTGATGAACTGAATGAGGACTCAACTTAAAAATTCAAAGTGGTGTCCTTTTTCGGTGGTTTAAGGAATTTTCATAATCTTGTAATTTGCTAGGGAAGTTAGTCATGAAATTTGTTTTATACGCCCAAAACAAGCATTCGAGTCAACGTCAATTCTAAAATATAAGGTAAATCCCCCCCCTCTCCTCTTAAAGTTAAAATCCGAAAATATTTGCCGTTCTAGGTCGTAAGTAGAAATAAGGCCAAAATAATTGTTTTGATAGTTCATTCATGTTTAAGAGGGATTTATGTAAAGTGCCTATTCCAACAGAAGTATGGGTTCGAAGTGGTGTTCACTCCCTTATTGTCTCTTGTCTATGAAGACATTAGTTCCACTTGTGAGGATCACCAGAGTTTCAATTCGATTCAAAATATGCATTGGGATATCATATCTATGTATGATAATAACAGAACTTTAAGAAATTTCAAAAAAAGGGGTTCTAACCCTTAAGCGCCCTTTTAAAATAAGCTCTATTGGTACTAGACTTGTAATAGAAGACGCTATTGGCGTTTGAAACATGTTCAATGCGTGTCTATAGCCTTCGTCTGAGATACACCACCAAAACTCATCACGTCGATTGCATCAGTCTGCCGAGTGATACGCATGAGTGTGGGTGGATGTATTATTCAAAAAATTATTCGGACATTAAAGGGTTGATCAAGGGCTAGCAGACAGCAAAATATTTCAATTGGAGGCTGGATTATGGAAGCTACGCCAACATTCCCAACAGGGTAAGAATCAAGTTGAAATTAACTAATTCTCCAAAATGGATTTGATCTGAAGATTTATGCAGATTGGAGTTTGTTGATCAAATGAGGTGGTTGCTTAGACATTTGTAACGCATGCGGATTCTCTAGCAGACTATTTAGACTATTTCTTGGTCCAAGTTAGTTTGTTGTAATGTGCGCAGTTTTGGAAAAGAATGGCATAAATGGATGAATACTTTATTCTATCCAATGTCAAAATTTGGCACCAACGTCTGAACAAATTTATGATAAAGCACACGTTGTGCTTGCTTTTAAAATTCATCCATTCAAAATAAGTGTTTTGCAGATATATCAAAAAAGGGTATTATTTAAAGCTGAAATCGGGCAGTTCAAGTGTCATAATTTCCAATCGGGCTTTGATGTTTTTACCTCGTGGTGTCATCAACGATTACGATAATCTGAAAGATAGCAATTTGTGGAACTATCTCATCAATCGATTGCGTCTACATGTTATATAATAATTTGTTCTTCCACAACATTGCCAACGAGTCAAACTTAAAAAATTACTAATAAAAACAGAGATGTAATATTAACATCTAGAAGTATCATTTATTCGTATCAATAAAACACATTTGCAAATAAAAGCAGTCAAATGTTTTTTGTGTCAATTCAAAGAAAGGGAATAGTGGAAGAATCGGGTTCGTATGGTAACTGTAAAAAAACGACTTCGTTATGAGTTTGTGACAATGAGGTGAGATGAGGAGGGTTTAGAGGGCCTTGCAGACGCCTAACCGATAACTGCAATTAGGACATGTGTGATCCACGTCCTTGAAACTCTTGATGTGGAAGGGAATTAAGCAGCAACCCAAGATACCGCTAAAATACAAAAAATAATTTGATAAGATAGACTAGCATAATTAGAATTAGAATTCTTGACATTAAGGAAAATGACAGTATATATATATATATATATATGCATACTAAGACCTTGCAAAGTTTATCGAATTGCTTTGTGTTAAGTTATTGCACAAAAGGACCGTCATTCTATATAAATAGCAAGCTCTGTTAACTGGTGTCTTGGCAAAAGGAGAAGCGTATTTGCGTGATCCAACTGTGATTAATGTGAACTGGAATTAAGTAGAATCCTGATAAGGACAAAGACGTAGCTATTCTGCTCATTAGAGCCATACTAGGATTCAAATATTTTCCAACTACACTGAGCAGACAATGACTCAGATTTGGTTGTCCGTTGAGTTCAACCCTTTTTTAACAACAAACAAGGCCTGTTATCCGGTCAACTTCTCTAATCTATCTTAATGAATTATGAGCGTCACCAACTCACCATCGATGCCTTTCTCCTTGAAATTCTGCCTCTTAATCCTTCCTTATAATTTCGATCATGGGGTGTGCGATAGATTTACCTCAACGTGGTGCACCCTGGGCAACGTATACTCATACCGCAAAAAAGCCTATTAACCGGCAGTTGACTTCTGACTTCAAACTGCCATGACCCCACTGTATGTCATATTTGACTACTTCCACAGTACTCACCCCACCATTTTTCTACCTTTGTGTCTGCCTCTTTTACATCTTTGAAACACTCTTCTGTTCCCTCCCTCGCCCTCTCGACTTTTTTCACTTTGATGTTCCTTCGCTCTGTGAAGCCTGAAGTCAACTTAAGGGCTAATGATAATCATCAAAACGCCTGCCATTTGATATAATAATGAATTTCGATCATTCATTTCCATTTGGCCTATAGAGCATTTGAGAAGGTCTGTTATATCCCGTAAGCCTGAGGAAAACCTTTTATTCTAAGATCGGGTAGGTAGCATTATGTTTGCTGGAGATCTTACAGTAGCATTACAGACAGGATAGGAGCTATTTTATTGGCAAGCGCGTCGTCTCCCGTTTACAGCTTGCCACTTAGCAAGCCTCATTCTCATATTCCTTCCTAGTGAGTATAATTCTAACGTACTTCGCAATCAGAAAACGGTAAAGAATTTTCAGATGAGTCAATTCAAATGAGGTGAGTATGAATTCAGCAGGAAAATGTCGCCTGCTCCCTTCCACACCCCCCCCCCCAACCCCGAGTATTCGGAGGAATGAAATACTGTTTTATTTTCTATTTTAAGTATTGGACCCAAAAGAAGACCAACTAGTAACTTGTTGAATTCTAGATTAAGACTAAAGTACTTGTCTCTGAGTCTTCTAAATAGACATATTTAATTACAATGACAAATTACAAAGAGGCTATTAAAGTTTGGTTACAAATTACTAACCAGGCCCGTTTGAAATCCTAAATTCATTTCAGATCGAGAGAGGTCGAGGGCACGATAGAGATCAAAAAACGAACTGCTGTTGTTGCAGTCCCAAAGACCGTGTGTGTCTCAGCTGATATAATAAATTTTCTACAGATTGATCCAATTCGACAAAAGTCGAAGATAGATATTAACGATACAGTATTGACGAGGACATTAAAAGAGGTATTTTGATCAATTAATACGTGATCACCAGGAAATCTAACTTGGCGCATTTTAGGTATTGCAATTTCGAAGAAACAATATGAAGTGGAAGAAGTCAAAATTGCTTGGCACGATTCCTTGGCAAAACACCTTCACAGATTGGAAGTATGCACTCAACCCACATGCCCTCTATGTAACCTACAGGAGGAAATGGAGAAGACCCACCTGATTCGGTGTCCAGCCCTAAAGACAAGGACGGAAAGCCAAAGATACTGGGAAGCAAGAAGACAGCTTGTGAATTGCTATTAATTAACTGCTATAAATGTACCCCCCCCCCCCAACCCTTGGAGGAAGCTGAAGTCAAAGTTTAAGGGCTAATGATAAATATCATAAAGCCTGCCATTTGAAATAAATAAATAAATATGAAGTGGAAGTGATCTCTTTCAAGGGAGCAATTAAATTTTTGCAATATATTTACACAAAAATCGCTGAAAGATATTATTAACCATTATGCTAATAGGTAATAGAATTAATTGAATTGTTTCCACATATACAACTGACTGATAACCAGGAAGGATCTTCCAGTCAAAAAATGCATGCTGTAGGTATTCTGGTTTAGGCTGCTATTTTTGAGCATAAATACACTTCTTCCCCCCCCCCTCCCCCACCAATCTCAACGCATTCAAATGTGACGTTTCAACTTAGGCTATTTGGCGGGTAGTGTGACTTACCCAACAGCAGCACAGCCAGTGCAAGAGAGCCACACGCAGAGGCCATTCTTGTAGGAGATGTTCGAAACAACCTCTGCCTCACAACTTGGACACGTCGTCAAAGTAGGTGTTCGTTGATGTGTCAATGGCTCAGTATTGACCACGTGAATAGCTAAAATTTAATAATTCAAAAATAGTAGCAAGTATTCCCTCAGAAGACAAAAGGATGGGAGGGTGGAGCACGATTATCCTTATTCACGCATACACAACCTTTGAAGTCACTCGATGACATTTCCAACTGGTCCATCTCTGAGTCACTCGCCCGGGGGCTAATGTATTTGCTGATTACTTTTGCAAATTTCTGCATTGTTTGCTTTTATAAGTACCTTTTTTAAAATGTCTCGCATTATAACGTCTCCGAAATATATATTGTAACAGAGGTGGGGGGGGCAAATCTGTTGAAGACAAATGTTTGCATGCATTAATCTTAAGCAGACTGACTGCTTCTTGCGCAGAGAGCATTCAACTACCTTCCAAGATCGGATTGATCATAGAAAGAATCCTGCAGGGGAAATCGTGTATTTCTGATCTTCTTATTTTTCAGCGAGATTAGCGATGCATTATTACTGAACGTGCATTAAATATAATTCTCTTTTTCAGACATCCCATCGGAGCAGAAAACTCGGATATTCACTTCAAATGGCAGGCGTTTTGATAGATATCATTAGCCATTTAGCTGGCTTCGGGCTTCACAGAGAGGAGGAGAAACATCAAGGTGACAAAAAGACACTTCGGGCTTCACAGAGGGATTCGGGCTTCACAGAGGGAAAGTTCATCAAAGTAGCAGAACTTCGGGCTTCACAGAGGGAAGGTTCATCAAAGTAGCAGAAAGTCGCACACCCCAAACTCGGATATATATATATATATATATATATATTAATTTCTAAAGATCGCATGCATTGATTTATTACTCCACTATTTTAATTACATGCTTTTGGTAATGCGGCCCTTTTCAGGTAAGATATCGGAAAAGATTCTGGGATTTTGATTTCCCTATTTGTCTAAGTCGGGATATAAGTACAATACATAGTGGTTTAGACGTTTTTATCAAATTTATACAACGCTAGGGAATTTCAAACCGCTCGGAAAAATGGAATTAAAACTAAAATTTGATTGGATCGGATTGATAGAAATATGAAAATCACTTTGAAGGTGCAATTTTCGCAAAGCCATCAAATTTATTTTCGAAGTGTGCGAATGAAAATTTCATTACTCTGCTCAAACTAACTTCAGTGAAGTGCCAACAAAAAATTATTATTCCAAATCAAATTTAACTGATTTCGTTTGGACAAAAAAGGTGACTAATGGAGTGTTCGGTGCTCTTCTGCTGCACTGATTCGACCAATCAGTTTTTTCCCCATTCTTAACAGTGTCATTCAGATTAGGCACTCAGACAATTAGACGATGACGGAGACAAAAGAATGATTCATATGCGCCGTCTGGTATCTGATTCAGCATAATTGGTCAATCTCCTCCTTGGTATTAGGTCAAAAAATTGCCAGAGGCCACCAGCAGATTGCAAAATTGATATTTGAAGAATGTGAACTAATTGAGAGTAATTAATGCGTGGGTGAGAGAAATACAATATGCATTAACAAATGATGTCAAATAAGCAGACAAATTAACCTAAATTACTGCGGAAACTTAAAACTAAATAGCAACCTTCTGAGCATATGTACATTTTAATCAGGGGTGAAATAGTAGCACTTTGACTGATAATACTAGTAAAATGGTCTGTTTATAAACATGTGGGAATTATATGGTTAAAAATTACGATAAATGCCCATAAGATAAGCTTCCGAAAATGGATGGCATTTAAGAATAATGTCAATTTGCGACTAACCAGTTGCATCGTTGGAACCATTCAAATGTGATATTTTCTTTAAAGTACCGGTCTGTTCTGGAGAATCTAAGGAGGTGTGACGGAAAATAAAAAATCAAAGTGGTGTCTTAAAATTGTCATAAATGAAGTTACAAAGCAAACTCACTGAATTCGTCCTCTGAATCTGGTATAGCTAAAATATATTGAAAAGTGTAAAGTTATTTATTGTCAATTATAAAAACAGGTAAATAAACTGGATAATTGAGCTTTAACTCAAAATTCGGAAAGAAATTAATAAAAACTTTAAAACTAAGAATATGATAATGGGTACGATTAAATGGGCGATGTTTAAATTACGTGAATAACATCAACCAAATGATAAGAAATCTTACTATTTTTAGTTTCATCCTCTGATTCCTTTTGAGCTATAATAAAAAAGGTTATTAGGATAATCATTTCACACTATAATCGCTTCCCATAGAGACAGATAAATATTAAAATTAAGAAAAAAGAAAATGATATGAGAAAACTGCTCTGTTAGTGTTAACTATGCGATTGCAAAATGTAGTATTTGTATTCACAATCTAAGTGTTTTCGTTACATATTATTGGTTAATAAGTTAGAGAAACAAAAATATTGGATAATCACTTTTAAACGATTATTAAAAACAAAATTGGTCGTATATAAAATGTTAATGCACGGACACTTAACAGGTTTCGTATTACAATATAACGAGTACGAACTCACAGGACATCGCGGAATACAAAATGCGCCCAATTTATACAACCTTGAATTCTCAAATGTGGGATTATTTAAAAAAATCATAAGTAAATGTTTAAGTTTAATCATAATTATTCACATTCGTATGCTTTTAATTAATTAAACTGATGGGCACTCAAACGTGTAAAATTTTATTTAAGTATACAGTCAAGTCAATTTAACGAATTTGAAAATAACTTTCTGACAATTATACGAAAAGCTTGAAGACGGTGCAATTTATTAAGTGGTCAAGTAGTCTTAGAAGTGTCAGTTCATACATTTTTGAGATTTAAATGAAGTAGTAGCACGGAAGTTTCAATAATGGTAGCTCTGTATATTTTGCTATCTTCGGCTCAACGATGAAATGTGACCTAAACATGAATCGATGAGTTGGCACAAAAAAATGAACTTTCCCCTGTGTTTATATGAGTTTATTTGGTAATTCTCTAAATTTTATTAATGTTAGCCAAGCTATCCAATCTTTGGTTTATTAGACTATTGTCATCTGGTCATCCTGATTAAAGATATATTCCTGTTGTAAATTAATTTAAACTACCTTGCGTAATACGCGATTGCAAATGACCAATCGGCTTCAAACTATAGCGATTTAAGTGAGTATTATACGGTATCCGTCAATTATATTAAAGGTATAATTTAGCTCTCTTTCAGGAATTAGAAGGGACAACATATACTCCTCGTGCCAAAAACTAGAAATATCTCCCCCGCTGACAGATTCCATTTTCATTTTTTCTCCTTTCAAAAGTCTGCCATCTCGCTATCCAATATCAATGTTGTTACAAAGCCTTTGAACGCAGTGGTTGCCTGACACCTCGAAAGGATAGCTATTCGCATATACTAATGTAATGTTTTGGAATTTAATCAGTTGATGATGTTCTGTTTGGTGTTCACTAAAGTAGATTACTGGAATACCATTTATGTTGTGAGTTATTTAGATAATAATCAAATATCTTTAAAAAGATTTAAATTTCTTTACTCGTTTGGAAAAATCTGAGATCTAAGTGAAATACTATATAACGTAAAATATTATGTGGATCCTAATGATTGAACAAAACCTATGATGACTGTGGTAAGGAATGCATGAAATTCTCATACTAGGCAAACTAGCTTTAAGCCTAAAAGTCATTTGTAATTTCGTAAATTTTTTCTTGGGCAGGACAGAACGTGTATGTATTTCAATAAATACCAACTACCGCAACCTACCCTCTTTATTAGTGGCTGAGGTGTAAGATACTTTCAATTAATAGGACTTTTGCCACAGACTTGGGAGAAAATGTAACGTTTATTTAATAAAAGGTGTTAGCCACTTTGTCCATGAATATTTCCACTTTTCAGGTACATAACAATGTGAAATTTTCACCATTTCAATTTAAATAATTGTAATACACATTTCCGCCTCATTTGTTTTTAGAAATATATTAATTTCACTATTCACTCTGTCTTATTCCGTTAATGTGTCACGATGTAACGTTTTCAAACTTGGAGCCTAAAGGTATTACAGTTTTCACAATTTATCCCGAGTGTTTATTTCCTAACAAAAGTAAATGGTTAGTTTCTAAAATTAGTTTATGTTGAGCTAAATGATTTAGACTTGGGTATTTATTAGTCAGATTATAATGGTCATGATCAAATTGATTGCGAAATAGGACATATTAAAATAGATAAAAAAACTAGATTTGGTTTGTAGATCCTAATTTTTACGTTTAATAAGGTTTATTTACTATTCCACCTATATATCAACAGAGTGAAAAATTTTTATGGGAAAATGACGTAACTCGTGAACTTCGTTCCAGAAATGAAGCCAGGAATTGAAGTTAATACCAACTGATCTTTCATAAACCTGGGAGTACCGATGGATAGCCTGTCATGTAGCTGTCAAACGCTTAAATCTGGTTTTAATTTGTTAGGAGTTCAAATGATGGCCTCACATTGAACAACGTCATCACACAGAGTTGATTAAGTTAATGAAGCCCGAGGTCACAGGCTAGATACATACAGTGTGATGTGACCAAACTAATAATTGAGAAGAGGAGTTTGGGTTTCACAACGTCAAGGGTCAATGACGTAACACCTCTGCTTCTCTATTGAGTTGTGGTTTTTTATTAATATGGGCTTTAATAAGCACTTTAAGCATTTTACCTTGATGTAGATAATTTTTTTATATATAACCTTGATTGAAGTTTACAAATTGTTAACCCATGAGTTTAACAACCTTATGGTATAAAAATGCCACTAGACTAATTCAGCATGCTATATACTGTCACCTGATTCCACATTCACCCGAAATGGGAACGCAATGAAAAATTAAATGGAAGTTTGTTAATAGGCAATATGTTAAATTTGATATATACAATATTTAAAAAAGCGTTGATTTAAACACTGGGGTTCGGTGCTCATGACAACTTCTCTCAGGCAATCTCTATTCGTGTATGCAAGTCTATAAACGTTTAATACGAAATCTGTCACTGCTTTATCTTACCTTGTATCGCCAAATCCTTTCAATCTAAATTGCCCTAGATAAGTACTGACCTTTTCTTAACCCCCTCCCTTCTCCCCCATTTCACTCTTTATTTCCTATGATCCATTCTCGAAGTTGAAGTTTCCGGTTGGCTTTAGGAAGATTATTCTTCTAAAGTAACTTTCCACGGGATTACGGTTGCTTTAGATGTATTTTGATCAGTTCCTTCTTTAACTGTTCGCTTGCCCATTTATTAACTACAATTAATAAAGATCCCAGTAGCGTGAAGGGAAAAGTTTGTTGTGCAAGCAACAGTCCACTACTGAGAAGTTTAATTTACTTCCATACGATTGGATATGGAATGTAAAAGATAGCTTGACCAGTATTGGTAATGACGGCCTCTTCACTGCTGGTTCGAATGTAGGTAACTCAGCTCTTGGGAATAAACTTACCACTGTACGCAGTTGAATCAATCAAAAAATACCCCAATTGTCTTCCTAACCGTTTTTCCTGGATTAAGTTTTCACCGGAAGTTATAATGTCTGCAAGGTCTTCATTAAGCTTCTGAAATTAATCCATCTCCCACTTGGCCCCCCACTTTTAAGACCTGGAAACAGGGCCCAATGGAATTGCAGTACGACAACAAAGATAATCGCATTCAAGTTAGTTTTCAGAAAAATCGTGCCTCCAAAACTCTCCACCCCGTTGGGGGGGGGAATGGGCCACATAAGATGTATCAAACAAGCCCGATTGAGGCAAATTTTAACTATATACAAACACTAGTATACCCGAACCCTATCTTTGAGAAGACGACCCCGAATAGAACTACGTTAAGGCACAAAACGAATAAGTCGAGAGCGACTCATTGTATTACAGGAAAGAGTTAAATTAATAAGTAGGTGGCAAGGAGACAACATTCATTCACACAACCAAAAGTAGCCCGATTCCATCGCATGTAAGATTATGACAGTAGTAATAGTACAAATTATTATGCTTAAATAGAGTGAGAACAAACCCTCACTCATGGAACGAGTATGGCAGACACTAATCAGCAAAATCTCACAAAAACAACATAAAGGGAAGAGAGCCGGGGGTAAAATAAGTCAATCACATAGAGAGGAGGGAATTAATTTTGAGGTTCCAGATTACGAGGATAGTACTTTTCAATAATGTTCTCAGGAATGCGTTTGAGGAGTTCCTTGGGGAAGGTACGAAGGAGCTCCCAGCCCATGTCAAGAGAAGTGTAGATGCTACGATTTTCATAATGGCCTTGAGAAATAAAAAGCTTCTCAAATTTGGTCAAGAACTCCAAGTAGAGTAAGTCCTCACCGGTCAATGCTTCTTCACCAACCACAGCCTTCATGGCTTGTACATCCTTCCCGATTGCATAACAGGCGTACTATAAATAAAATCACACAAATAGTGGATTAAACGGGATATTAGCCGTAAAATTAGCGAAAAAACCAAGCAAGAGACAAATTACCAGTTGATTGGAAACATCAGAGTGGTCGTCTCTAGTCATATCCTTGCCAATAGCAGATTTCATGAGACGAGAAAGCGATGGAAGAACATTGATGGGTGGGTAGATGTGCCGATTATTAATTTGACTATCAACATAAATTTGTCCCTCGGTGATATAGCCCGTCAAATCAGGAATTGGATGAGTGATATCATCGTTGGGCATGGTGAGAATAGGGATTTGTGTAATGGATCCACCTCGACCCTCAACACAACCAGCTCTCTCGTAAATCGATGCCAAATCAGTGTACATATAACCGGGGAAGCCTCGTCTACCCGGCACCTCTTCACGAGCAGCTGAAACCTGATAAAGATCAATAAAATTTAACTGAGAAACCGATGACTTACCTCACGAAGAGCTTCAGCATAGGAACTCATGTCAGTGAGAATAACGAGAACGTGTTTCTCACACTGGTAAGCGAGATATTCAGCAGTGGTAAGAGCAATACGAGGAGTGATAATTCTTTCGATAGTCGGATCGTTAGCCAGATTAAGGAACAAACAAACATTATCCATAGAACCATGCTCCTTGAAATCTCGTATGAAGAAACGAGCGGTTTCCATATTGACACCCATAGCAGCAAACACAATGGCGAAATTGTCATTTTCATCTTGGGCAGCGTCACATCCTTCCTTCTTGACTAGACCAGCTTGACGACATATTTGAGCAGCGATATCGTTATGAGGAAGACCAGAACCGGAGAATATTGGGATCTTTTGGCCTCTAGCAATGGAATTCATAACATCAATACTGGATATTCCAGTCTGGATCATGTCACGTGGATATATACGAGAATAGGGATTAATAGGTTGGCCCTCAATATCTAGATAATCCTCAGCTAAAATTGATGGACCACCGTCTTTGGGTTTGCCAGAACCATCAAATACGCGTCCAAGCATATCTTCAGAAACTGCGGTTCTAAGAACGTCGCCGGTAAATTCGCAAACTGTTTTCTGAGCATCGATGCCGCTCGTGCCTTCAAAAACTTGAACAACAGCCTTTTTGCCACTAACTTCGAGAACTTGACCACTTCTAACGTTGCCATCAGGTAATGTGAGTTTCACGATCTCGGCGTATTTCGGAAACTTGACATCATCCAAGATAACCAATGGACCATTGACTCCAGAAACAGTCCTGTAACCTAAAGAATGTCATCACTTAGAGTAAAATGGAATACTTATTCTGGGGTTCGATATATAATCTCGCGTAACCGCCTGCTTATGCTGAAACGCGTACGAGGAGGCCATTGACCTAAACTCTGGAGCTTATCAAAGACCGCTTCTGTCTTTGGGCTTAGTATAACACAAAAATGATAGTTTGTTTAAAAAGAATTAATCATTAAATACATAAAATTTCTTAAATAAAGTTTATGAACGCTTTTTAATTAGTTGATTCCTCATAGTTTTTTATTTTTAGTTATATTTAGAAGTCATTAATATATATTATATTTAATTCAGAAATAGAGGTAAAGACTGCGCAGAAAATTATGCATAATATTACTAATATTGAATTTTGTCTTACTATTTTATTTAATTTGTTAATTATACATATTTACCTTTCGATTTTCGAAACAAGGCTAATAATTTTGCCTTCGCAGCTAATTTAGAAATCTATAGAGAGTCAGGCTTCGTTTATAAATAATTTTTAATTGCTAATAAATTTGAGAAATTTTTAATGCTCTAATCTATCTGCTCTTGCACGTTACATAATCCAGATTTATTGGATTGCAGGGAATAACCCTGAAACCAAATTAAAAGTCCATAAAATCTGAAAATTGTAAACCTACTCTCATCCAAAGTTCATAAAATCAAAACATGCAATTGCAAATTCGTGCAAAATGAAGAAAGTTTTATTCATTATACGAATGTGGACATTTAGATGCTTTCAAATGTAAAGACTTGGCTGCGTCAACTACTTATTAAAGATCATTTCCTCGTTTTATGTTCTTAATAGATTATTTGTTATTTAAAGCGCTCGCCTTTAGCAAAATAAGTCGAAGAAATTTTTTTCTACTTCCAATTCAAGCTTTATCCTAACTTTTTTGCAAGCTGGTTTGTTACGCAAAATATAATCTATTATTATAAATCCAGGGCATTAATAGTAGAATAATAATGGAGGTAAAAGGGAGGAAAAATTAGGCTTCCAAAACTTCAGTTGTACTTCATTTAAATTATAAAGTCAACATTTTCACAATACTTTGAAGCTATATATTAAAGTGTTCCCTTGAGATTAAATTCAGAAGGCAATTGAACTGTAATAATCCTTTCAAAAATTTAAGTTACTGAATTTAGCAACCATCTATATTTTTCAGCAAATTTGTCACCTCTCTTTTGTGCCATTACGAACCGCCAAAGTGATATTGTGACTTTTGGAGTTCTAATAATTATCATCGAATGCGTTGTCCTGTAATGGGTCGTAGTTCACTTTATATCTTTTCAAAACAAATGAATTATTGCAACAAATTCAAAGGAGTTGACTAATTTGCTTTTAAGTTTGCGTTTTAAATATACAAGGAACTCCGCACCAGGAATTGGTTTGAGTATTATGTAATATTGTTAATGCCATTAGTTTCGCCTACTTGTTATCATTTCTCTTGATCTATCTAATTAGGAAAATAATTTTCGAAAATAATAGCGGATTGCCAGATCCGAATTAACAAGGAAGGTAGGTTAATAACCTTGTTAGTAATGTATAAAGGGATACACGACGCATGTAATTGCACACTGATAGCTGACTTGTTTTGCATTTTTTCGTTCATTGGCGAGCAACCAATAAAGAAATCAATACTTTAGCTATTTTTGTGGCGAAATTTCCTAGTAGGAAATTGTTCACGAAGTTGGTTAAGTTACCTCAACAATATCGCAGAAACCGATATTCTGGTGGGAATAGCCTTCATTGTGGTTGTGATTCACTGACACAGATCTCAGTCTTCAAAGTCTAACTTCTGACAATGCTGACGATTGATTAGTAATTGGCTGAGACATCTCTTCGCTCACGACATTATCAGCTTCCTAACCCGATCGGTAACAATGCCGAACCTGGTGACGACGGGATCAGTACCACGTTGCCTGTTTTTGAATTTCAGAGAACGTGGTTATGGCCATTTAGCTATGTGCTCTCCATAATTCAAAATGTAGGCAATTCTTAAGCATTTGACACATTCATATCCATCAAGTTCTTCTATCTCCTATCATCAACATTTTATCTATTTGAACCAATTCGCTTTTCAATTTTGAGGGAAGACAATGCAATTACTCTCTCTCTTTTTATTTCGAAGACAGCATTTTTTGGTAACATGCATCAATACCTCCTTGAGAATTCGGAAGTAGATTATAAAAATTATACTTCATTATTTTTCCTTTTCACAAAGGCAATTCATCTCTCAAAAATACTTGGAGACTATAAAAGAACTTCTTATAATCACTCATAAAAGACAGTTTGCAAGTCTGATTTTGAGAACTTTAAAAGAAGCAACTGCCTCCAAGGCTTGTAAAAGTAGTTCCCGATATTGTACTTGCCTAGTTCTTCGTTATTTGCATTTTTTAATGAAAATTTTCGCCGTTGTTTACACGTACGCTTGCCTCTCATCTCCGGTTTACAAAGCCAGAATTGTTACGCGTCAGTAGTCCATTACGTTTCCGACCGCCCAAGTTTGGTGTGCGATAGACTTACTTGCACGCCTTGCACCCAGAGCCATGTGTTTTCATAAGGCAATAAATTCCATTAACCGGCAGTTAGCTTCTGACTTCAAACTTCCATGATCCCATTGTATAACATATTCGAATTCTTCCACAGTACTCACCTCACCTTTTTTCTACCTTTGTGTCTGCCTGTCTCTTTTGCATCTTTAAATACCTCTTCTGTACCCCTTCTCCACTTTTTCTCATTTTGATGTTCCCCTTCAGTGAAGCCCGAAGTCAGCTAAAGGGTTGATGATAAGTATCATAAAGCCCGAAAGTTGAAATGCATGCATACGTTCCCGTCCGCCAAAGTGTGTTTCAATTAAAATGGCCATTTAATAGACCCGACCCGAAGTCTATACTGTTCCTGCTAAATTGTATATAAGTTCATTTTCATCAATTACTGTGCTTTAATGGGAATTGTTCCAAAATTAACTCAATCATTGCTAAAATAGTGGTTCAAGGTCATTTTATTCCTGTTCTATGCGGCACTTTAGTCTATCTTTATGAAGAATTTCGTTTAAAATCATTGAATCTAAATTGTGTCAAAACCAAATCCATAATTTCGTTGTGTTTTATTATCATAATTATAAGGCTAGGATAATTTTTCCAATTTTTTGTTAACTTTCCGTCACCTAAAGTCTGTGTTGAAATAATTGCAACTCCTTTGACCGAATGCGAAGCCATCCTTGAAAGTGCAGTTTCAGGAGAGTTGCTAGTAGAGTATTTCTGCGCGCTATTAACGATAATACAATGACTCTAGCTCTTGATAATTAGCGAAATTCACCAACCTCCATTGAAAAAGTACTTTCTACTTTGAATATATTAGTAGCATTTAATTTACTATTTATATATCTGATAAATGGTTTTTATTTCAAATTATACGTTTTAAGTTCTTTTTTGTTTCATTCCAAAGGTAGCCATAAATATATAGGACTACCGGATTAATGAGCGTGTAAAAAACATTACTGAGATTGCGTATTGATTGTCCCATGCCTATTGAATTCTTTACTGTCCCAATTCGTTGAAATCGTTGGCACTTAAATGTTTTAGTCAGTGCAATTTGGTCCAATAAGCGCACAGAACCACAGCCACAAATGCAGAAATGGAAGGCATATTTTACCTCCAAACGAGAACGGCTTGATAGTAAGTAGAAGGCAATCTCCAGGCAATAGACCTTCGGTACAAAGCCACTTCCTTGTGATAATAGAAACACTTTTCCTCACACCTCGTTTTAATTTATAATTATTTCAGATGAAGAATTCAAAATTCTTCACCCTTGACCGAGTGTACTCCATAACTTTGAATTTTAGCCAGTATGCCATACGAATTCATATTATGGCAATACTCTATGGTACAAAATCGGCCTTTATTTTACTGAAGTAACGATTGAACCCCGACACCAGTATGATCACTGCGGGTATTTGTCTTAGATATCTTTCAGTGAGTAAACCAAGGATTTGTAGGAAGAGCCTTGATGTGACCCTGTTAGAAGCAGAAAGCCCAATCGTGTCCTGTCAATTCATCCGTAAGTCCTAAATTGATTTTCTTCACTTTGAATCATTCCTTCGGTTCTTTGCTCATACGATTGATCCAATTTTCCCTCATCCCCATGTGGTGGTCAGCATGGGCGGCTTGACTCCGTCATTAATTTTTGTGTCCTTGGGGAAAGTGTAATGACAAGGAAGATGTGTTGCGTTCCCCTTGTTTTAAAAGAAAAATTATTATTCTATAACGCTTTGTTTAACAGCCCCAATGTTGAAATGAATGTTTGATTAATGTTTTATGACTGTTGAGGATTCCTTTATTGCCATTGCCCAAGTTACAGAGCACTTGAATCCACAGTGTGTGGGATTGAATGCTGAAGAGGGATAAACGGTCAAAGTTGTTTAAGTGATAATTTGATTCGATTGTGCCCTATATGTGAATCGAAGAATCATATTGTAAAGTTCAAATCTCTGCAAATGCTAAATTCTCATCATAATTTGAAATTAAAGTTGGTCTACAGCTCCAAAGTCAGCATAATTAGCATGTAAGACTTCATGGATTGAGTATTGGTGTTCGTAGTGGACTTATCTCTACGTGGTGCTCCCTGGGCAACATATACACATACGTCAAAAGTCTATAGGTAGACAATTGACTCAAACTACCATGACCTGACTGCATGTTAATTTTGAACAGTCCACAGTACTCACCTTACCTTACAGTCTTCTCTGCTTTTGTGTCTGTCTGTCTCTTTTACATCTGTTCTTCCCCCCCCCCCTCTCGCCCACTCCAATCCACTTTTTGTGAATTTGATGTTCCTCCCCTATGCGAAGGCCGACGTTTACCAAATTGATAATGGTAACTATCATAAACCCCTCCATTTGAAATAAATAAATTGCATGAGTATATGCTACCCAGGGTGCACTACGTGGAGGTAAGTGTATCGCACACCCACCTCCAAAATAAATTTCATTGATTCTTATCAATGCAGTGAAAATGCTTATCCAGTTTCAAGCTCAATGCACGAATCCCGGAAAAGGACATGTGGTGAGAAATTTGAAAAAAAACATAAGATGAATTCG